GTCTCAAAAGCATTATGCTAAGTGAATGAAGCAAGACACAAACTGCTACTACATATAGTTTGATTCCATTTGTATGACATTCCTGAAAATCAAAACTACAGGAATAGAAATCAGATCAGATTTCCCTGGGCAAGGAAAAAGAAGATTAAGTATACAGGTGTGAAAAGAAAAAGAAAGGTGTAAAAGGGAAATGCTGATCTTGATTGCTGTGATGGTTCATGATTAATTTAAGTGTGTCAAAACTCATCAAAATGTAAACCTAAAATAGGTGCATTTTGCTTTATGCAATTTTTCCTCCAATAGATTTTACTTAAAAAAAAATCAAAAATAAATAAAAATAAATTACACATTTTATTAATTTCCATAGGAGTTCTATACGTAAATAATTGTGTTGAAAACAGATTTCTCCTGCCCAAGAAAACCTCTATCGGAATAGGAAAGCAAACTAACAGACTCATAATAAAAATATTATTGGGAATATTTGTTTTTTGAAATGAGCAGCAGCCAGAGGTCAATATTTACATATGGAATTAATCTTATAGATTGAATTTCTATAAATATAGCAGCAAAGTGAGAGATAATTTTTGCAGCAAAAATTTTTATTTTACCACAAAATACAGAAAATGTTTTACATTTTGGCTCAATATACATATTCATTTACAGAAAGTTTCATACATGTGTTCTGGTATTTTTTCCTCTATTCTACTATACTCTGTTCCATTCCATTTTATTGTTATTTTAAAAGTCTGAAAGTAAAAGATCTAGATTGTTCCCCAGCAGACTGCAACCAGCAATTTGAGAAACATCTTTGTATCTTGCAGATGTTCCCAGTCCAGCTTTCTCCCGAACTTCCCCCTTTTTATTATATTGATCACTATTTTCATTTGAAATGAGGAGTATAGTCAAATATGTTAGTGTCAAGAATGTTATACTATTTCTAATTACAAAAACTGTTTAAATATTTCTAAGATTTTATCTTAGGAAAAACAATGAGGCAAATGAAAGATTATGATACTTAGATAGAATATATAGATATCAGGCAAACAGTTTAATAATAATGCATCCATCTACCTGTTTGTTCCCTGTCCATAAATATTTACTGAGTATATCTTATGTGCCAGTATCAAGAGCCAGACATTTGCCAAGTATTTGGGTAAACAGTTTAAAAAAGAGATGCAGTATTTGTCTTCAAAGGAAGACTAATGGGGGAGACTGCCATTACACAAATAAAATGCTACTTCTAAATGTCTATAGTATACTAGAAGCCTGATGCATGAGGATTCATGCCAGAATGGGCCTTTCTTTCCCTGGCTGCCAGCACCACTTTTGCTGTGGTCTGGAGCTGCCTTTCCGCCTTCCTACGCTCCTCAGAGGCCCAGAGTGGCCGTGTTTGCAAATTAACTGCCATCTTTGTTGGTTACTCACTCCTGATTGGCTATGGGCGTTGCAAAGGTACAGTCAATTGGCATGTTTGTCTATTATTAGACAGGATACCAGTTAGTGCTAGAAATAGGATCATTATACTATGCTAACTATATTTCCAATTGAATATACGTTAGGACTTGAAAGAAGAAAGTTATTCTCAAATATGAATATTCTAGAGGCCTGGTGCAAAAAATTCGTCCCTCAGCCCAGCCTGCACCCTGTTCAATCTGGGAGCTCTCAAGCGATGTCCAACTGCCCATTTAGACCTGATCCCAAGAGTGGGTCTAAACGGGCAATTGGACATCCGTCTCATAATCCAGGACTACTGGTTCCCAACCACTCTCCTGCCTGCCTGATTGCCCCTAATCGCTTCTTGCCTGGCAGCCTGATCACTCCCCTGCCAACCTGATTGACACCTAACATCTCCCCTGCAGGCCTGGTCCCCGCGCCCCTCCCCCCCCAATTGCCCTGCCCTGCAGGCCTGGTCCCGCCCTAACTGCCCTCCCCTGCTGGCCTGATTGCCCACAACTGTCCTCCCCTGCCAGCCATCTTGTGGCAGTCAACTTGTGTCCACGGGTGTGTGTGTGTGTGTGTGTGTGTGTGTGTGTGTGTGTGCGCATCTTGTGTGCTGGAGTGATGGTCAATTTGCATATTACTCTATTATTAGGTAGGATAGCCAGGAAATAAAGCATTGTCAAGCTCTAGGGTTATCTATGAAATATAATGTAATTAGGCCATAAAAAACCAAGCAAGTTATAAATCATGGAAAGTCCTCTATACTATTTTTATACTTTGTACAGGCTATTACTGCACATATCACTCTATATAGTTTTATTTTATTTACAGGTCTCCAGTCTCTCTAGAATATAAGCTTCACATGGGCAGGTAATGTTCTTATTTTTTTGCTTTGAGAATACTTAGCATTTAAGATGCATTCAACTAATGTTTACAGCACTGAAGGAAACCACTTTAAAAAAACAAGAAATAGTACTTGGAGTATTTAGTTATATACACCTAAGAGATTTACAAGGCTAAATTTTAGGGGAGAAACCACTATTTTAAAGCAACCAATCAATCCTCTTCTCAAATAACCCACATTAAATCTATAAAACAAAAGGCTTTTTAAAAAAAACATCCAATTTGCAAACCCACCAAAGCTGTTTGCAGCAGCTTTTCCATATGAATGTCTTGTCCTGGCTCAGGCTTCAGACTTTCCTAAAATCTTTCAAACAAGTAGCAGCTAGCATCAGCATACCTCACAGCTATCAATAAGTGCCCAAGACTCAGCACTATCACCAACCTACCTTGATCCACAGCTTGGCCTCACCTGAGCACTTCCAAGCAGCCATATAGCAGCCATCTGATATTGCTCCAAAGCTCCTCCCAAGAGGCCCCAGAACCAGTGAACCCATATCAGATTACAACTCTACACATCCACTGCAACACATTCAAGGGGCAGACTCAGTGAGCACCAAAGCCCCAATGAAGCAAGTCCTGCTCCATAGGAATGTCTCCTGCATAGCAGCTCTTCCAATGTAGTCATAGCTGCTCCTCACAGCCAATTGGCCCAACTCCCAGTGACCCCAACAGCAATCAAGGCTCAACTACAACAAATCTGTACACACAGCCCCCACAGGGGCACTGCTAGAGTACCCCGCTCAAGTGACTATGGAGTCTGAACCACTGGACCCTACAGGACACCTTACTACACAAGACCACTCTACCAATTCCAGGAGACATAGCAGCTCTACCTAATACATAGAAACAAACTCAGGGAAGCAGCCAAAATGTGGAGAAAAAGAAACATGTCACAAATGAAAGAACAGAAAAAATCCCAAGAAAAAGAACTAAAAATGAAAGCAAGAATACAACTACATATAGAGTTTAACTCAATGGTCATAAGGTTGCTCAAAGATCTTAATGAAAGCTTCAAGGAACTTAATGAGACTTTCAAGGATCTTAGTGAGAATTTCAAAGAGACGAAAAAGGACCAGTCAGAAATTAAGCATACACTAACTGAAATAAAGAATAATTTATTTGGTTTCAATAGTACAGTAGAGGATTCTGAGAATCAAATTAATAATTTGTAATACAAGGAAGCAAAAAACAAACAAACAAAAAAAAAACACCCAATCATAAGAGCAAAAAGAAAAAAGAATCCAAAAATATGAAGATAGTGTAAGGAGCCTCTGGGACAACTTCAAGCATAACAACATTTGCATCATGGGAGTACCAGAAGAAGAATAGAGAGAACATACTGAAAACCTATTTGAAGAAATAATGACAGAAAACTTCCCCCATCTGGTAAAAGGAACTGACTTACAAGTCCAGGAAGCACGGAGTTCTAAATAAGAGGAACCCAAAGAGACTCACACCAAGACACATCTATAACAATAAAAACGTAATATGCTAATTAGACCAGGTGTCCTTCTGGACAATCTTCTGGACAAAGCCAGGGCTGGGAGGGAAGCCTGCGTCCCAGGTGCCAGAGGAAAGCCGGTGCCGGCAGCCAGGGACAAGAACGACTACTCTCGCATGAGTTTCATGCATCGGTCCTCTAGTCATAAATAAAATGCCAAGGGTTAAAGACAAAGAGAGACTCTTAAAAGCATAAAGACAAAAGCAGTTAGTTACCTACAAGGGAGTACCCATATGACTATCAGCTAATTTCTCAACAGAAACTTTGTAGGCCAGTAGAAAGTGGCAAGAAATATTCAAAGTGATGAAGAGCAAGAATCTACAACCAAGATTACTCTACCCAGCAATGCTATCATTTAGAATTGAAGGTCAGATAAAGAGCTTCACAGACAAGAAAAGCTAACGAAGTTCATCACTACCAAACAAGTATTATTACATGAAATGTTGAAGGGTATTCTTTAAGAAAAGAAAGAAGGAAAAAAATATAAACAATAAAATGGCAATAAATACATATTTATCAACAATTGAATCTAATGATCAAAATAGACAAACAAGGAATCCAATGAACAAAAAAAAACCTGATGAATAAAATAGAACCAGATACATGGAACAAACTGACAAATCTCACAAGGAAGGGAAGAGAAGAAATTAACCAAAGATTTTATATGAATATTAGAGGCCTGATGCACGAAATTTGTGCAAGAGTAGGTCTTCCTTCCCCCAGTTGCTGCCACAGGCTTCCCTCTGGCACCCGGGATCTGGGCTTCCTTCCCTCCAGCCGCAGGCAGGCACCCAGGACCCAGGCTTCCCTGTAGCCACTGGAAGGCACCTGGGCTTCCCTCCTAGAAGGATGTCCAGTGTAATTAGCATATTATATTTTTATTATTATAGATATGTATTACTTATGAAGACAGACAATAGAGTGGTAAAGGCCTGAGGTGGGATAGGAACCTGGTGGAGGGTGGTAATGGGGGAAGAAAAGGTTATATCTATAATACTCCCAACAGTAAAGATTTTTTTAAAACAGCATAAAATTATCTTGATCTTTCTTTGGTAACTTAAAAATATCTACAACTAAGAAGGTTCAATTTTACAATAAACATAAATTATTAAGAACAGTGAACTTTCATTTAGTAAGAATAATACATGATTAATACCTGAGGGAACTGTTGTTGGGGTTTTTTAGGTCCTGATGAAGTTTGATCACCCATTCCTGATACTCTTGTTTTTGGATGGCAGTTGATTGTTTTAATTCATTTGACCATTTATTTTCTAAGTCCTAAACATAGACAATATACCAACTAGTTAATTATTTTATGAAAATAAGTAAAAAAAAAAAAGTAACTGCATATCTAAAATCCATTGTACTTTACTTACTTGCTGGGATTCAAAATGCTGAGCAGCCAGTGAATTTACATCTTGATCTGTCAGTGATTTTCCCAACTCCTGCATCACTTTTTCCATTTCAATACCTTGTCTAAAACATAAATAAGATCAGATATACTCATTAGAATTTTAAGGTAATACAACCACTCCAGATTCATTGAACACTCTCTAGAAAGTAAAAATAAAATATTTATTTTATAGGAATAGGTCTAAGAATGGCAACTATACCTGGAAAACATTATGAAGCCTTTTAAGTGAAGATGTGGAAATAATAATGATAATTTCATATATTAGCAACATCATTTGTGCAGCTAAATTTTTATTTATTAATTGATTTTAGAAAGAGGGAGGAAGGGAGAGAAAGAAAAAATATATAATTTGTTGTTCCACTTATTTATGCATTCATTACAGGTGTACTGCTTAATAATGCGGATTTTTTTCAACAGATGGAGTTACACATATGTTGATATATACTCAACTTGATATGTATGTTCTTTTGTTGTATTAAAACGTCATATGTCAAATTTTCTGAAGGTGTTAACATCATAGATATTTTTACACTTAAAAATGTTGAATTTTGTGCGCCAAAAGGAGCATTTGTAGGAAGTTTTAATTCATTACTTTATTTTGAAGAAAAGTGCTGCTAAAAGTTACCATATACTTCAGGAAGCTTAGGGTGATGATTTCAATATGAAAGACAAAGAATGTCCAGGTCAACCGAAAAAGTTTGAAGACCAACAATTACAAGCATTATTGGATGAAGTTGCATGCCAAACTCAAAAACTTGCAGAAAAATTAAATGTTGTTCAGCAAACACTTTCCGATAGTTTACAAACAATGGGAAAGATTTTAAAGGAAGCAAAATGGGTGCCACATCAACTGAAGGAAAGACTAATGGAAAACCGAAAAGTCACCAGTAAAACGTTGCTTCAATGGCATGAAAGTCTTTATTGCATCGAATTGTGACTGGCAATGAAAAGTGGATTTATTTTGAGAATCCTAAATGCACAAAATCATGGTTTGATCCAAGTCAACCAACAATATTGACTGCAAGGCCAAATTGCTTTGGGAAAAAGACAATGCTCTGGTTTGGTGGGATCAGGAAGGTGTTGTATATTATGAGCTTCCAAAACCAGGTGAAACAATTAATACTGATCACTACCGACAACAAATAACCAATTTGAACCACACTTTGATAGTGAAATAACCAGAATGTGCCAGAAGACACCGCAAAGTAATTTTGCTTCCTCACACACTTCAAAACTAGTTAAAGACACATTCAAAGATCTTGCCTAGGAAGTATTAACCCACCTGCCATATTCACCAGATCTTGCTCTTTCAGATTACCACTTGTTCCGATTGATGGCATACACACTTTCTTTCTTTCTTTCTTTTTTTTTTTTTAATAAGTTTTTATTGTTCATATTATTACAAATGTTCCTTTTTTTCCCCCCCCCCACCATTGCTCTCCTCCACCAGGTTCCCACCCAACCCTCTGCCCTTTTCCCTCTCCCCATTGTCCTCATCCATAGGTGCACAGTTTATGTTCAGTCTCTTCCCACGCCCCCCTCTCCCCTTTTCGCCAAGAATCGTCAGTTCACTCCCCTTCCATATCTCTGATTCTATTATATTCAACAATTAATATTGTTCATCAGATTTTTTTAATTTCCTTGGTTTTTAGATTCACTTGTTGATAATTACATATTTGTTGTTCATAATTTTTATCTTTGTTTACTTTCTCTTCTGAAAGAACCCCCTTCAGCAATTCATATAATTCTGGTTTGGTGGTGATGAACTCCTTTAGCTTTTTTTTATTAGTGAAGCTCTTTATCTGGCCTTTGATTCTGAGTGATAGCTTTGCTGGGTAGATTATTTTTGGCTGTAGGTTCTTGCTATTCATCACCTTGAATATTTCTTGCCATTCCCTTCTGGCCTGCATGGTTTCTGTTGAGAAGTCAGCTGACAATCGTATAGGTGCTCCTTTATAGGTTACTACCTTCTTTGCTCTTGCTTCTTTTAATATTTTCTCTTTGTCTTTTGCTCTTGGAATTTTAATAATGATGTGTCTCGGTGTGGTCCTCTTTGGATTCCTTTTGTTTGGAGTTCTGTGCGCTTCCTGGACTTGTAAGTCTAATTCTTTCACCAGGTGGGGAAAGTTTTCTGTCACTATTTCTTTCAGTATGTTTTCGATATCTTGCTCTCTCTCATCTTCTGGGACCCCCATAATTCTGATGTTGGTTCGCTTGAAGTTGTCCCAGAGGTTTCTTACATTATCTTCAATTTTCTGGATTCTCTTGCCTTCTAGCTTCTGTGGAGGAGTGTCTTCTGGCTCTTTATGTTCCAAATCTTTGACTTGATTCTTGCGGTCTTCCCTTCTGTTTTTAGGACTCTGTAAAATATTTTTTATTTCAGACAATGTATTCTTTATTTCTTGTTGATCCCTTATCATTCCTTGTTGACTCCTTATTAATTCTAGTTGATCTCTTTTCATATCCTCATAGGCCTTATCCATCTTTTCTAGGAAATTCTTGAAAAACCTTATAAGCGTAGATTTGAACTTTATATCCAGATGCTTTTTGTCCTCCATTTCTTTCGTTTGTGATCTATTTTGTTGTTGCATTTTGCAGTTACAGATGGGAAGGGGTTTCAGGGTGGAGCCTGCAGCTTTGGCTTTAGTCAGCTCTGCCCTATGCGGGTCCTTCAGTGCTCGCTGCCGGCGCCTCTGAGAGAAAGGTGCCCTCGATTTTCGCCTGCTGCCAAACAGTCTATGCTCTCCCACAATGAGCCCGGTATTGGGGTTCAGTTCAGTTGGAAGTGGAGTTGGAGGTGGCGTTCAGAGCAGTCTGGAGCCCCAGTCTCCTTCCCGTCAGGGCAATCCCGCAGCACAGCCGACCGTCCCTTCTCTGCGCGCAGTGTGCGCGCCTCTGGGACCTCCTTTCACTGCTCCCCGGGGTTCCGCCTTACAGCCCAGCTCCCTATGGCTGAGCCTGAGTCCCCGGGGTCTGGCCTAGAACTGGGGTTCAGAGCAGTCGGGGACCCAGCACAGTCGGAGTTTTATCTCCTTTTTAAGCTAGGGAACGCCCGCCAGGCACTCGGCCTCCCTCCTCTCCGGCTCCGTCCTCTCCGCGCCGCGTCTCCATACCTTGGGCTTTTCCAGCTCCTCCGCGCCTCCTTCTGGTTTTCTCCTTGCTTCTCGCTGTAGAATTTCCAGTCAGTCAACCTTCCTGTAGTTCTGGGCAATGTCCGTTTTATATTTTAGTTGTATTTTATTGAAATGGTGTGCGGCTGCAGCTAGGTGTTCACCTGGGCGCAGCCATCTTGGATCTCGGCATACACACTTTCTGAGCAGCACTTCAAAATGTACAAATTAGTGGAAAATTGGGTCTCTGAATGGTTTGCCTTAAAACAAGTAAAGTTCTATTGGGATGGTATCCACAAATTACCTGAAAGAAGGGGGAAATGTGTAGCTAGCGATAGACATTACTTTGAATAAAGCATTTTTGATGTTTCTCTTGAAATCATTGTGTTTTCTTTTATTACAAAATCCGCATTATTAACTGGTACAGGTGGTAGTTGCTTCTTGTATGTGCCCTGACCGGAGATTGAACCCACATTTTTGCTCTACCCAACTGAGCTACCCAACAAGGGCCTTGTAAAGCTAAATTTTAATTTAAATTTAATGCAAAATGAAAGCAGTCAAAATCTAGGTCATCTTTCAATTTCCATGGCTAATGTTAAAAAAGTCCAAACCCCATTTCATCTGCAGATTTCCTCAAAAATATTCTGCAATTCCAGCTTAAACACATTTTCTATTTATCTGTACACAAGTTAAAGTAACTCTAATCTTTGAAAGTTAGTTTATAACTAGAAACTGCCAATTAGGCTCTAAGAATCAAATTGCTATTAAGTCACAAGTTCCCTTTACAGAGAAATATAAAATACTACTAAAAATATGCTTTAGTCTTACCTTATTCATCTATCCAAATAAATAATGTGCAAACATTAAAAATGGTTTCCCCTACAGGAAAAACTAATCAATGGCATTATGAGTTCATATAATGGTTACTTATGGGGGATATGGGTAGTGACTAGATGGACACCAGGAAGCCTTTGGCAGTGCTGGAAATACTCTATTTCTTGAGCTGGGTGATGATTACATGGGTGTTCTTACTTGGTAAAAGTTTAGTGAGCTTACACCTCCAGTTTGTTGCCTTTCCGTAATGTTATATTTTAATAAGTAATTTTATTCAAATTAAAAATTATCTTTCAATACAAATGTGTTAAAAGTTTGTTCTAAACATATTTAAATAAACTTAGAAAGAATGAAACAGACATCAACTAAAAGAATTTTATATCATTCTAGTTAATTAATTTATTAATTTTTTTATTAAATTATTATCTCTGTACATATATCATTGCCCCCCCCATACATGCCCTCCCTCCCCAGAGTTTTGTGTCCATTTGTTGTACTTATATGCATGTATACAAGTCCTTCGGTTGATCTCTTATCTTCCTCAGATATCCCTACCCTCCCTGCTGTAATTTCAATGTAGTTAATTTAAATAAATGCTATTAGAAGCAAGTTCATACTTCCTTATAACAACTGATTAAGATACTTATGTATATGATAAAATGAAACATAGTACATTTACATCATACATTTACAAATTTCTATATATGCCTTCTAATATTAAATACATCATACATTTACAAATTTCTATATATGCCTTCTAATATTAAATATTCTACACCACTTAGTCCCCACTTAATTCTAATGTAGGTGATCCCTTAACTTTTTAATAACTACTAGAGGTCAGGGGAAGATTATGCTAGCAAATAAGATTTTTATTTAAAACAGAAATAACTGCTAAATATTTATAAATACAAACTTCCATATGAATGTATTAATATTTTACATTACACATGTTCCCTCTAGTGGATAAAAAATATCACTGCCATTTTTACATTTTTAAAAAAATATCTTGAGTCTAGTATGCCAAGAGAAACAAATTTCCAGTGAGGAAAAAGAAAGACAAATAAGAACTCAATAAATAAAATGTCATGAATATTTTTTTACCTGTAATGTGTCAGAAACACAAGTAGCTAATGATATACAAGAATCAGCAAAAGTAGGTCTATGATTGTTTCTATAAAAAATACCATAATTAATAAGTGATAATACAATAAACTTAGTTTCATGTACTCACAACTATAAACCTACTTTTGCCCCACCCTGTATTAATAATACAGTATATATTTTCTATGATGAAGAGCAAAGGGAAAAACAAGATCATTAATAACTGCACTGATGCTGTGCTTAAAACTGTCTTTTAAAGACGTAAAATGCAATTAAAATAAAAGGATATATAGAAAAATGTGTCATTCTGCTCACACATTGGATAAATGAAATAAGCAAAATTTTGGGTAAAATTTCACAAATACTAGTGAATTCCAACTTACCATAAGTATACTGTTCACCTTTGTGATATATATTATGGACCTTAAGAGCAACATAGCTTATATTTCCTTTTTAAGCTAACAGATTGGATATGTGAAAGATAAACTACAAAACTGTTTTAAAAAGAAATGTATTGTCCAGTTGACATGGCTCAGTGGTTGAGCGTCCACCTATGAATCAGGAAGTCATGGTTTAATTCCCTATCAAGGCACATGCCTGGGTTGCAGGCTTGATCCCTAGATGGGGATGTGAAGGATGCAGCAAATCAATAATCTCTCCCTTTTTCCCTTCCTCTCTAAAATCAATAAAAAAATTTTTAAAAAGAAATGTATTCCAATGATGATTTTATTTTAGAAAGGAAAAAAGCAAAGCCCTATCAAGAAGTTTGGCCAAAGGGTGTTTCAAAAAATAATGAAACAGCCTGGCCAGTGTGTCTAATGGTTAATGCCAACATATGGACTAGGTCATAGTTTGGTTCCAGGTCAGGGCACATGCCCTGGTTGTGGGCTGAATCCCCAGTGGGGGACATGCAGGAAGTGGCTGATCAATGTTTCTCTCAAATCAATGCTTTTATCTATCCTTCTCTCTAAAATCAATAAAAATATATTTTAAAATAACAGCATAACAAAACTTTACTAAAAAACTATTTCAGGATAGAGAAAAAAGAGTATAAAGTTTCAATAAATGCAAAAAATTAGTAAGTTAATTCTTCCCATAAGGTTAAAGTCAGAGAATACTGATGGCCACAATTGAAGTTTTCTGGGAGGTATAGTGAATAGGCAACAAAGTGGGCCACAATTTAGAGTAGCTCTCAGCTGCATAAAAGGACAGTAAAAGCTACTAATATAAACTATAGATTGCCAAGTTGAGAATTTTTTCATATACCTTAATAAGCAGAATGACTATAATCCCAGAAAACCTGAGATCCAAGAACAAATTCAGAATGAGTTCTATTACTTGAAGCTCTGATAGGAAAATTTGTACACGGGTAGGTGCACAAAAATTCATACACAGATAGGGTCCCTAGGCCTGGTGGGTGATCAGGGCTGATTAGGGCCTTCCTTTGTTCTGCGCCACCCCCTGGAGGTCAGCACATGTCATAGCGAGCGGTCAAACTCCCAAGGGGACAATTTACATATTAGCCTTTTATTATATAGGATATTTAAAAATCCAATTTTTATTTTGTTCTTGTCTGAAAAATATATTCACAATTTTATTGGCTACCTTATAAAGAACAAGAAAACAAAATGTTTCTCTCCCCCAGGCACACAACTTAAACTATTTACCCAGTGGCAACTACCCATACTACAAGTATCCCATCTAGAAAAAAATAAACTGTTTCAAAACATCTAATCAGCAAATCCAAACACATAAAGAGTGACAAATGTATCAAAAAATCATGTTCTTTTTGACCCAGAAACAGTTCTAATATCTTACTGGATATGAGAATAAAAGGTCCAGAGGAGTTGAATTATTATGAAAACGAACAAATCTATGCAATATAGGAACTCTGATCTGGTATACAAAAGACAGTAGCCACAGGAAAAATGATTAAATCTATTTGCTATGATTTCTGTGTTTTAAGTTTTTTTAAAAATGATGACAACCCTCAAAATAACACATTATTCTCATCTTGCTAGTCCCAAAGTTCCTAATGAGAACCTAATGAAGGCCAGAAGCAAACCAGTACATCATTTTAAATTTATTTCTTTGGGCCAAAACCAGTTTGGCTCAGTGGATAGAGCATTGGCCTGCGGACTGAAAGGTCCCAGGTTCGATTCCGGTCAAGGGCATGTACCTTGGTTGCGGGCACATCCCCAGTAGGGGGTGTGCAAGAGGCAGCTGATCGATGTTTCTCTCTCATCGATGTTTCTAACTCTCTATCCCTCTCCCTTCCTCTCTGTAAAAACTCAATAAAATATATATTTTTTAGAAATTTAAATTTATTTCTTTGGGACTAATTTCATAATATGTAATTTTTCCTAATATACTTTCACAATTAAAGAAATTTTACATCAGCAACACTAAAAAATTATTTTAATGCCACATATACCTAAAATCTTAAATAAATGTTTTTATCTTAATGTAATTAGAGCCAGCTAGATCAAAATGGGTTATCTGGAAGAAGTGTATCCTGAATTACCTGTTATAGAATTAGTAGGAAGCAGTCTAGAAAGTAATGCTTTAAAATAATGCTAGCAATTTTTTACTTACTCTGAGGAAAAAAAAATGGATCGTAAAAACACTGTTTGCATACTGTATTAAGTAATTCATACAAAATGAATTTAAATCTAATCAACTTTTCTTGGAATATAACTAGTGTTTTTGTGTCTCCCCCCGCCCCCCCGGCATATAAATAAGCTTACAAAATGAATTGAGAGTATGGACTTAGTCACATCAAGGTTTTAAATAGGTCCTGAAAAGGGAGCAGTATGGCATAGTGCATAATAGCTTTAGAGTCAGACTCCCTGGTTTCAAATTCTAGCTTTTCCTTAGGTAAGTTACTGAAGCTTCAGTTTCCTCATCTGCACAATGGGTGTTAACAGTAGGGTTGTGGTAAGGATAAATGAGATAGGGCATCTGTTATGAACTGCATGTTTGTGTCCCTCCAAATTCATATGTTGAAACCCTGCCGAAACCGGTTTGGCTCAATGGATAGAGCATCAGCTTGGGGACTGAAGGGTCCAGGGTTCGATTCCGGTCAAGGGCATGTACCTTGGTTGCGGGCATATCCCCAGTAGGGGGTGTGCAAGAGGCAGCTGATCGATGACTCTCTCTCATATTTCTAACTCTCTATCTCTCTCCCTTCCTCTCTGTAAAAAATCAATAAAATATATTAAAAAAAAAGAAGAAAAAAAAACAAAACCCTAACCTGCCCCTTGCAATGTGATGGTGTTTGAAGGTAGGGCTTTTGGGGAGGTAATTAGGTTTAGAAAAAGCCATGAAGTTGAAATCCTCATAATGGAATTAGAGGAAGAGATGCGAGAGCTCTCACTCTAGAAAAGACACAGTAGGAGCACACAGTGAGGAAAGGCCATGTGAGCACACATCAAGAAGGTACTATCCATAAACCAGGAATGAGAAATAATTTCTGTTGTTTACACTACCCAGTCTATGGTATTTTTCTATAGTAGCCTGAACTGACTAAGACAGCATCCAAAACACTTTGATCAGAAGTAAGCTATTCTTCTTATGAGAAATAGAATATATAAAGTCACCATTATTTATTTTGGTAAATCACTTGAGAAGTTTTATAAACTTAAGAGGATTTCCCAGTTGAAATTACATATTTAAACACACAAGAAAATTGCTAATATGAAAGAATTTTTTTCTATTTTACTCTTAAATTTTATAACAAAATAAAAACAAGTTCTGTAGGACATAAGTGATGATGTAACATTTAATTATGATAATGCAAGAAATTTTAAATACCTCTCTCGTAATTTTTTCAGTTCCACGTCTCTTTCACCAATCAGTTCTGAGATACTAACAAAATAATTATGTTCCAAATTTAGGAGCGTTTCAGAGGCAGGAGAATGAATTAGGTCATGGTACACATCTGCAAAATCTTCATCCCAACTGGGTTCTTCAGGCCTTGCGTGCTCCAATGTGGTCTACAAATGATACACAGACATTCTTAAATCACGATGTAGGATTTTTATTTAACACACTATTAGAAAAGCATGTACTATTATATTATGATTCTATTTTTGTACATCAGATAAGGACAGAAAGACGTTGTCTTTTTATATAAGTGTATATATTGGTTATCTATGATTATCTGAGTAAACACACAAAAATTAAAAGATATAAACTAAGTTGTTAACATGGGTTACCTGAAGGCAAGGATGGGGAGAGGGTAATGTGGAGGAAGAGATGGGAAGTGTGCACAATAAAAACAAAATAAAACATTATGCTATAACCCAATTTCTTTAAATAGCATATACACACAAGGATGTGATTAATAAAATGCTAATTATGGCTATTTCAGGGCAGTGGGACTGGTGATGATCTTTGCTTTTTTATATTATAATGTGCTAGAGACCTGATGCACAATATTCATGCCCTCATGAGGGTTGGAGGAGTCCCTCTTGAGCAGTCTGGGAGCCCTCGAGGGATGTCCCCAAGCAGGCCTAAGCCGTCAGTCAGACATCCTTAGCACTGCCACAGAATTGGGAGAGGCTCCCTCCACCACCACTGCGCTTGACAGCCATCCATCAGCTCAGCTTGTGGTTGAGCGGCGCTCCCACTGTGGGAGCAGACTGACCAGGAGGCAGCTGCTGCATTGAGCATCTGCCCCCTGATGGTCAGTGTGCATCATAAGGACCGGTCATTCCGCCATTCAATCAATTTACATATTACCCTTTTATTATCCTATCTAATGAAAGGGCAATATGCAAATTAACCATCACTCTGCTACACTCACCAGCCATGCCCAGCAGACAATCAGGAGCGAGTATGCAAATTAACCCACCCCTGGCAATGGAGGAAGCCAAGATTCTGCAGCCCTGGCCTGTTTTGACCTCTGCTTAAGGCTACAAAGTTTCAATTATAGGAGATAAATAAATTCCAACAGAAATGGCTGCTGCCACAGAGTAAGCAGGAGGCTTGGCTCCACTTCAGGCTACAAAGTTTCCATTGTAGAAGATAAATAAATTCCAGATACAAGGGCCTTTACTTATGTCACCAGAGGGTGTGGCCAGCCTGCCTGCAAACCGCCACAAGCCTCATGCCCCAAGGCAGGGGTCTTCAAACTACGGCCTGAGGGCCACATGCGGCCCGCAGAGGAGTCTGATCCGGCCTGCCAGGTTTTTTGGGCAGTGAGCGCAGCCGAGGTGTTACAGTTCGGCCGCCAGGTCCTGCATATACACTGTCACTGCACGGCCCCTCTGACCCCTCTGCCTCTTTAAGAGCACAGTGCCTGCTGGGGCTCAGAGAGTGCGACGTGCCGCCGCACAGGCATGTCTGTGCTGTGCTGCGCGGCAATGATGTAAAAAGGCGCCCGCTTCACCCCAAGGCAACGTGGTGTCTGTGTGCTGTGCCTGCCTGTCAGTGAGGTTCTCCTCCTCTCCCTCCACTGCCTTCACCAAAGGTCGGTCGAAAGTGCCATAGAAAGAAATTTTTGCCAGATGGGGGGTTTCTGCCCGATTGGGGGTTGGTGACTCATGAAAATTCCCCTTTGGGGGTGGGTGGTGGGGCGTTCGGTGCTGAAATCAAAATTCTGCCAGTTGGGGGGTGGGCGGTGGGGGGTGGTTGGGAGGTCAGGGCTTCGGTGCTGAATTGCCCATATGGAAAATTCTGCCAGTTTTGGGGGGAAGGTGTTCGGTGCTGATATGTGAAATCAAAATTCTGCCAGGTGGGAGGTGGGGGGAGGTTAGGGGTTCGGTGCTGAATTGCCCATATGGAAAATTCTGCCAGTTTGGGGGGAAGGTGTTCGGTGCTGATATGAGAAATCAAAATTCTGCCGGGGGGGGGAGGGGGGGGGACGGACGGACTTGGACCAAGTCTCTTTGTGGAAGAATTGAGACTGACAGCATGCCGCCCCAGCCAACAGCCTTTTTTTTTTTTCCATGAGGCAACCCTGATCACATCTTCCTACTAATATAGCCAGGCCCATTCCAAACCAGAAAGTCAACTCCAGTGTAAAAAGACGATTAAAGCCTTTTAAAGGGGTTTACATTAAAAATTTTATATGCATTTTGCATTTCCTTTTCAGTGTTCACGTGCTGATTCCGAACATATCAATTTGGCCGTTATATAGGGAGATATAACCGAACCCCATCAGGGACTGAGCTGGTCTGCTTAGAAAAGCCTGCAAGAGGTAAGTGTCCACATCGGGGGCAGAGACCTACTAACTAATGGGAGTTCATACACTGTGTGTGTGTGTGTGTGTGTGTGTGTGTGTGTGTGTGTGTATATATATACACACACATATTAGTATTTTACTAATAGCAATTTGGAATCCCTAGGAAACAATGATGTCAAGAAAAAGAAAAATTGACTCTGAGTGTAGGATATTCAAAGAACAGTGGACTTATGATTACTTTTTCACGCGGTACAAAGAAAAAGCTGTGTGTCTGATATGCCAGAATATAGTTGCTGTGTTCAAAGAATACAATTTGCGACGCCACTATCAAACTCAACATAAAGATAAATATGATTGTTTGGTCGGAGAAGTGAGAAAAGATAAAATATTAAAACTGAAACATACACTGACAACTCAGCAAAATACTTTTGTGAAGCAGAAGCAGCTAAATATTTCATCACTGCGGGCAAGTTTTCAAGTTGCCAAGCTAATAGCGCGCAATGGAAGACCATTTGTGGAGGGAGAATTTGTTAAAGAATGCCTTCTTTCTGTTGCCAAAGAGATGTGTCCAGAGAAGGCCGATTTATTTAGTACAGTGAGTCTTTCAGGAGCTACAATGACACGAAGGATTGAAGAAATGGGAGACAATTTGCAGCACCATTTGCAAAACTCTGTAAAAAAACTTTGCTATTTTTCCTTGGCACTCGACGAAAGCAATGATGTTCGTGATTCTGCCCAACTTCTCATTTTTATGCGTGGGACAAATGAGTATTTTGAAGTCACAGAAGAGCTTGCTGCACTGCGAAGTATCAAAGGTACAACCACAGGAGTGGATATATATGAAAAGGTTTGCCAAACTGTGAATGGTTTGGAGCTGGACTGGGCTAAACTAGCCAGTGTGACAACTGATGGTGCTCCTAGCATGGTGGGGTCTAAGAGAGGAGTAATTGCTCACATTAAACAAGAGATGGACAAACATAACCATCCTCATCCAATTGCCATACACTGCCTCATCCACCAACAAGCGCTGTGTTTTACATCACTGAAGTGGGACTCTGTTATGAAAATTGTGGTATCTTGTGTTAATTTCATTAGAGTTCATGCACTAAACCACAGACAATTTCAGGAATTTCTGTCTGAGCTAAATATTGCCCATGAGGATGTTCTGTACCACACAGAAGTCCATTGGCTGAGTAGAGGGAGAGTTTTGAAATGTTTCTATGACTTACTTCCGCAGATTACAGCTTTTCTACTTTCAAAAAACAAAGAAGTACCAGAGCTCAGTGATGCAGAATGGAAATGGCACCTTGCCTTTCTGACAGATATAACAGAGCTACTCAACAGTTTCAATCCGCAACTTCAAGGAAAGGGGAAGCTCATCTGTGATATGGCATCGCATGTGAAAGCACTTGAAGTAAAATTAGGCCTTCTCATCAAACAAGTAAAGGAGGAAAACTTCAGCCATCTCCCAACAATTCAAAACCTGTCAGCGGACAAACCATTGGTTGCATTCCCAAAGAAAACATGTGTGGATTCACTGGAATTGTTGCAAAAGGAGTTTCAATTTAGATTCAAAGAGCTTCATCTCCATGAACAGGACATACAGCTTTTTCGTAACCCATTTTCTGTTGAGATTGAAAATGTCCTTACAATTTACCAAATGGAACTGGCTGAATTGCAGAATTGTGACTCTCTGAAAGACGCATTCAAGTCAAGTAGCCTTCTGAATTTCTATGCATCTCTCCCCTCTGAGACATAGCCAAATATCAGGAACCATGCACTCAAAATGGTAACCATCTTTGGTAGCACTTATGTCTGTGAACAGACTTTTTCAAGAATGAAACATCTGAAATCTCCAACCAGATCAAGATTAACTGATGCCCACTTGCATCACTTGTTACGACTAGCAGTGACAAATATGGAACCGGACATTGACCATCTCATTAGCCAAAAGCAGGCCCACAGTTCCCATTGAAATACTGGTAAGTGATCTGTTTATTTATAAATGTTCTTCATTTTATTTATATTGTATTTGTTACCTTTTTGCGAAATAAGATATGTGCAGTGTGGGTAGGAATTAGTAGTTCATATAGTCCGGCCCTCCAGCTCTCTGAAGGACCGTGATCTGGCCCCCACTTTAAAAAGTTTGAGGACCCCTGCCCCATGGGAACCCCCACCCTGATTTGGGACACCCTTCAGGGCAAACCAGCTGGCCCCCACCCATGCACCAGGCCTCTATCCTATCTAATAAAAGAGTAATATGCAGATTGTCCATCACTTCAACACACAAGATGGCTGCCCCCATGTGGTCAAAGATCCTGCCCCTATGTGGACACAAGATGGCCACCACAAGATGGCAGAGGAAGGCCTACTCTTACACAAATTTTGTACATTGGGCCTCTAGTTTTTATATTAAGATAAATAACCCTAGCTGGTGTGGCTCAGTGGAGGGAATATCAGCCTGCAGACTGTAGGTCTCAGATTCGATTCCAGACAGGGGCACATGCTCAAGCTGAGGGCTCAGAAGGCAGCTGGTCAACGATTCTCTCTCATTACTGATATTTCTATCTCTCCCTCTCCCTTCCCATCTGAATCAATAAAAAATATATATATATTTTTAAAAAGATAAATAAATAAATAAGCATTTATTTACATAAAGTCAGGGAGAGGAGAGGTTCTGCTACCAGATATTATATCAAAATAAGAACACTCCTAGAGGAGAAACTACTTTCTTCAGGAATTCTTTCTTGATCATTCCTTCTTCCTCAACTTTTCTACATGATCCCACACTGATCCCACTGACTGCACAGGTTACAACAGTCTGTGGATTTCTTTGTATCTTCCTACTCGACTGTATGCTTCCTGAGGGCAAAGACTTATCCTCAGCTCTACACTCAACCTATTTTCAAGGTATAAAAATATTGGTTCATTTTAGAGGTATAAAAATATAATAAATTAAATGAAATTATTCTTTTAATACATCTTATAACTTTGTTTCCTTTGATCAGCAGAACAATTGTGATTCTTTAAATTGTTATTGTCACAGATTTATGCTTTTTAACAAAATAATTAAGCTTGTAATAATTAAAATTATATATAAGCATAGTATCGTCTTTTATGTAACCAGGAAACCTTACTGAGCACAGAGCAAACTGCTTAGAATAACAAATATGACCCCATAAAATTTATTTCTTTCAAATTCTCATAGACTGAGTTAAAGTGGAATGTAATTCATTCATTATTGCTAGCAATTATTAAATTTATTTGTTTATGTATTCTTGTATCTGGCTCTCTAACTAAAATGTAAATTTCACTTTTGTCTGTCTTGCTCACTATTTTATACCTGGCATATGAGATTCTGAATATACTGTATTTCATCAATTCTAAGATACATATTTTTTTTATTATTCATCTCTGAAAAATCAGTAATATTTTACATTTGATGGCATCTTGGCATTCTATCAAGTTTAAAAACAGAAGTGTTCTTAGTAGTAAATAAAATAATGGTATGTAGCCGAAACCGGTTTGGCTCAGTGGTGGAGCGTCGGTCTGCGGACTGGGGGGTCCCGGATTCGATTCCGGTCGGGGGCATGTACCTGGGTTGCGGGCACATCCCCAGTGGGGGGTGTGCAGGAGGCGGCTGGTTGATGTTTCTCTCTCATCAACGTTTCTAGCTCTCTGTCCCTCTCTCTTCCTTTCTGTAAAAAATCAATAAAATATATTTAAAAATAATAAATAAATAAAATAAAATAATGGTATGTATTATGATCAAAGGTATGTTAGACTTTATGAAATAAGGTATATTATTTAAATGGAAAAATGATGACGTTATGTAACTATCTAAAAACAGTTAGAAGGTAAGTAAGTAAAAGAACAAAAGTAAACCAGATGAAAATAAGCTACTACTGCTAGCTTAAGGTTGCCTATTAAAATACAGGTCATCCAGTTAAATTAGAATTTCAGATAAACATCAAATAATTTTTTATTATAATTATGTTCCACAGAATATGGCATATACTTATACCAAAACTAGTGGCCTGGTGCACAGAATTTGTGCACAGTAAAAAGGAATTAATTAGAGGAAATATTTTAATATTGCTATTTGCCCTTTCTCTGTAATAGAAGTGTCAGAGATAAAGAAAATTAGTAAAATGTATATAAATCGGTCCTCCCCTGCAGGCCTAGTCCCCCCAACTGCCCTCCCCTGCAGGCCTTGATTCCCCCCAATTGTCCTCCCCTGCAGGTCTGACTCCCCCACAATTTCCCTCCCCTGTAGGCCTGATCACCCTCAACTGCCCTCTCCTGCTGGCCTGATCGCCCACAATTGCCCTCCTCTGCAGTCCTGGTCCCCACAACTGCCCTCCCCTGCAGGCCTGGATTCCCCTCTACTGTCCTTCCCTACAGGCCTGGTCCCCCCCAACTGCCCTCCCCTGCAGGCCTGGTCCCTCCCTACTGCCCTCCCCTACATGCCTGATCCCCCCACAACTGCCCTCCTCTGCTGGCCTGATTACCCACAACTGTCCTCCCCTGCAAGCCTGGTCCCCCCAATTGCACTCCCCTGCAGGCCTGGTCCCCCCAATTGCACTCTCCTGCAGGCCTGGTCCCTCCCAACTGCCCTCCTCTGTTGGCCTGGATGCCCCCAACTGCCCTCCTCTGCTAGCCTGATCGTCCACAACTGCCCTCCCCTGCTGGCCATCTTATGGCAGCCATGTTGTGTCCACATGGGGGCAGCCACCTTTGACCACATGAGGGCAGCCATCTTGTGTGTTGGAGTGACAGTCAATTTTCATATTACTCTTTTATTAGATAGGATAGCTATTCGCCCTTTCTCTATAATAGAAGTGTCAACCAAATTCATAATCAACAATAACAGATTGAAACATACACGGGCAATTGGCACCAGCGAGAGCTTTATATGTATCGCGCATGCGCGAGTCAACTTAGCCTTTTATAAATATAGAATAAACTTGCTTAATTACCATAGATCTGCTTTCTGATTTAGCTAAACCTTTTCCAACCCAGTGAAGCACCCCAACTTCTCTTTCAGGTAATTGTGAGCAACACAGCAGTAAATATCAACATGAAGCAGATTATTAGTGTAGATTACACAGGGAGAACAAAGGGAAAAATATTTAACCACAGCAGTATTTGACTATATTCTATGCAGTGAGAAAACCTGAAGTCATTTTCAAGGTCCACCATTTCTTACTTCTTTTCCTTCCGGTCAAGTTTCTAAACTTTCTAAGTCTCTGTTTTTCCAGCTAATGAAAAGAAAACAGGAATCCACAGAGTCTCCTATCTACCTACCCCAGGACTTCTGTGAGGATCAAATGAGATAAGGCACTGGAAAACATTTCACAGACATTTGGTTAGAGTGTGAAATGTTTGAACCTAGCTATAAAACAAGTGGTGTTCTTGGGCTGAAGAAATTGCAAGGAAGCTAGGGAGAGGAAGCCGGGCATTGCTATGAGACGTCATTACCCAGCACACCATAGTGACCGTTTCTGGACTGGGCTGTGGGCCGCATTTTGTGCCATGGGATTTTGGTAGCATTGGCTGCTATTTGGTGGGTTGTTGCTCCAGAGTGATGGCAGGGCCTGAGTCCCACTGGGAGAAGCTAAGTTTTGCTTTGTGGGTGCCAGGTTCGCAGAGCCATGTCTCATGGCAGCTCCTGCACTGAGCACCTTCCCCCTGGTGGTCAGTGAGTGTCATAGAGACTGGTCAGATGGTCAGACACTTAGTATATAAGCCTTTAAAATATATAGATATTAATGTTATGGAATAAATTTTTGTAATTAAAGAAAAAAGGATTCTACACCTGTTTCAGTATTATCTTAGCAATTTAAAAATCCTCATCAAAGTCCAGAATATCCTTGAAATTTATAATATGATCTATTTTCTTACCTCAGCATAAGCTTTGGCCCATGTACTTGCCAGATGATCTAAATCTACTTCACCTGATTTCACAGCTTCCAGCGATGCTTCAGCCTCTCTATCATAATCTCTGAGGGATTCTTCTTCTATAAACCGGATCAGAGCTTCTTTTAAGTCTATAACAGGGTTAAGAAATGCTATCATCAGCAAAATCCAGACAAAAACAGGAAACATTTTACCTAAGCATTCCAATGTCAAATTTATTTTATCGAGCCAAAACTGTTTGGCTCAGTGGATAGAGCGTCAGCCTGCAGACTGAAAGGTCCCGGGTTCGATTCCGGTCAAGGGCATGTACCTTGGTTGCCGGCACATCTCCAGTGGAGGGTGTGCAAGAGGCAGCTAATTGATGATTCTCTCTCATCGATGTTTCTAACTCTCTATCCATTACACTTCCTCTCTCTCTGTAAAAAATCAATAAAATACCTATATTTTTAAATTATTTTATCAAGTACAATCTATATAATAAAGAGGTAATAATTGGTCCTATGATGTCACAGCACGACCAGGCTGCATGCACATAGGAGCTGGTGGGCAGGGATGGGGTGGGGACTTGCACCCATGGTACATGAGGCTGCCGCAGGTGGAAGCCCTCCCCTCCACACACACCTGTTGGAAGTGCATGCAGGCCCTCGGTGCATCCCGATCCAGAAGGGGGCATCAGGATGGGGGCGGGCTTCAGCGGAGATCTCTCAGCACTCTTGCATTGGGGTGCAGAGGGAGAGCACATGGAAGTTAGGGGGTTTAGGCCAGGAGGGGAGAGCAGATAGGCAGTTAGGGGGATCTGACCAGCAGGGGAGAGCAATTAGGCAGTTATGGGGATCAGGCCAAGAGGAGAGAGCAATTAGGGCCATTAGGCCAGCAGGGGAGCAGTTAGGGACTTCAGGCAGGCAGGTGAATACTTAGGAGCCAGTGATTCTGGATTGTGAGAGGAATCCCAAATTGGAGAGGGTGCAGGCCAGGCTGAGGCGACCGTGCGCCCCATTCTTTCCCCTCCCCCAGTATCTAAATAAAATAAAATAAGCTTAGGGGATAATTTACCTACTTCACAACCATTTTTCTTTTTTAAAAAAATCTTTATTGTTGAAAGTATTACATATGTCCCCTTTTTTCCTCCATCGATCCCCTCCAACTCTCCCCCCTCAGGCCCTCACTACCCCACTGCTGGCATTGCTGGGTTATGCATATATACATACAAGGTCTTTTCACAACCATTTTTCTTTACTTTTACAGGTTACTGCATGGACAATGGTCAAAATTCTTGACTCATGTATAGCCTTGACACCAATTTGAAATGATAATTTCTTAAGCTTGTTGTTTCAGTTTGAAACTGAGTTGATAAAATCACATACAGTAAAAATTCTATAGATTTCAAGGGTTTGAAGGTTACTGTATTTAAATGAAAAAGTTTCCTATATATGTATTGTTACATTCTTTGAATTTGAAGAAATTGAATGATTAGTGTATTAAAACTGATGTAATTCAGATGCTATATACCAGTAAATCCAATTTTAGAGACAATACTTAAAAAAACTGATATAATGGAAAGAGCACTGGGAGAGAAGTCAGTATGCTTGTGTTCTGGAGTGGGCTCTGACCACCACATTACTTTAAACCAGTGGCATGCATTAGAATCCCCTGGAGGGCTTACTGAAGTAGCTTGCTGCATGCTACCCGAAGTTTTTGATTCAGCAAGAATGGGGTGGGGCTCAAGAATGTGCAATTCTAACAAGTTTCCAGGTGATGCTACTACTCCTGACCAGGAAACAACTTTTGAGAGCCACTGCTTTAGGCAAATATTTTAACCTTTTTATTTCAGATTTCCTTAATCTGTACAATGAACGTTTCTAGGTTCCCTAACTCTAACTTTCTATGATCCAACATATTCTCAATTAAATTTTTTTTTCATCTGTGAAGTAGGACATAGGCTTTTAAAATGGTTTAATATAGATGACTTTATGGAATTAATTTAGATAAGCAAAAATTATTCAACAATTTATATTCCTTCTCTTCCATGACATTTTAGGAACTGAGAACCAGATCATTAAAGGGGCAATGTGTTTAGCAATATAATTCTATAATATAATAACTGACAGCTGAAATGCCTTATGAATCCATTCAACTAAGAAGAGGTTAAAAATTCTATTCCAGACTTTGTAACTAGTTTTTCATTACATGATTTAATTTTTAAACTAACCTGCCTTATCAACAACTACCAGAGTTAAAGGAAAAATCACTAAATAAAACAAAGGTCTGGGGAATCTTTTTATTCTTAAAGCAGTTAAACATTTTATATTTTATGGCTCTTTCCAATGCTTCTTAGTTTTATGCTTTCTAATATGAATCTTGTAATGTCAGAAACTCTAGATAAACAATAAAGTAGCTTTAAAAATCAGTCCTCACCTTTTTCTATAAAGCATGGCAAACTGTGCAGCAGCATCAGGCGTCCATGTAAGTAACTGACATTCTCTTGAACAGGAAATTGGAGGGGCACCCTCAGTTCTAAGCACTGACTTCCTATTTTGAATTTATAGACAAACTCCCTCTCTCGGTTGCAGAATCTTTCTCTGTTTTTCTTCATCTTCTTTGGCAGGATATCTATAGAACTAACAAAAAAGCAGCAAGTTATAAGTCCATAAAAACATGATATACCACATTATTGCTCTACCACTTCCAAGAAAATATTCCACTTCTCAAAGGTTTTGTGTGACTCGAAGCCAATTATTCTAGTTTTTCCTACTTTTATCCTTGTGTTTTTATCTTTGTGGTGAAAATGAAGTGCATCTTTTAAAAATGAGGACAGTTTCCTTTAAGATTTATTTAAGGAAAAATATGTCCATAGAGAACTTTGCATTTCCAGGCAGGATTCTCAAGAACAAAAAAAGAACAGGGAGAAAAGAGCAGAGAGGAGTCTGAGGAAGAGATGCATAGGTGGGAAAATAGGATAATAGCATTTATGAAATAGTTGGTGAACACAAAATCAAAGAAACAGCACAGCCGGCTTGGTTCAGTGGTGGAGCATTGACCTATGAACCAGGAAGGTCACAGTTAGATTCCTGGTCAAGGCACATGCCCAGGTTGCCAGCCCCATCCTCAGTGTGGGGCTTGCAGGAGAGAATCAATGATTCTCTCTCATCATTGATATTTTTATATCTCCTCCCTTCCTCTCCGAAATCAATAAAAATATATTTTTAAAAAACCAAAGAAACAGATCAGGGACGAAGAAGTAATCTTGGAATTCCTAGATGTTTTATGAGATCAGATTGGGGGCAGAGGGAAGGGAGATGGGTGTTGGAAAGATTTTTATGTGGGAGGAAGATACACAGAAAATAGAAAGCATAAAATATCCCAAAAGGCAAACTGGATGCTGTTCAAAAAGAAGAAAATCCAGTAAAACAGAGTAAGAATCAACGTCCTGTAAAGGTTTGTCAGCCTCCTTCCTAGACGTAAGAATCTCTAGGCTTTTCCTCATCAAATCAGTTCTTACACTACTCTGGGACAAAACAGAACACGACACAAATTACAGTAATCTTTCAAACAAGTAGATATCTTGTTATTTACCTGCTTAAAACACTGTATAACATTCTATTGGCCCATGTGCATGAAATTCGTGCACGGAGGGGGTGTCAAACCAGTTTACAATGCCTCTGCTTATATTTCCCGGCTTTTTCCTCACCAGCACCTGCACCTGCACCCCTCTTCCCAAAGACACAAATTTGCTGAATGCTTTTCCCAACCTTTCTGGATGCTTTTCCTTTACCTAGAACACTCGTTCTGCTCTTCTTTCCTTGGCTAAACATTTTTTGGTAAATTATAACCATTAACTTTAGTTTCAATCGGTTCAACATTTAGACTTGTTTCTACAAATGATTCTTTAGTTCCCTCTCTCCACTTTTTTTTTTTTTTTTTTTTTAATAACTTCAGGTTGAAATAAGCAAAGGATTCCTGTGCAAAAATGGGATGGGATGGGAGGGGAAGGACATGATCGAACTCATTCAATTAACAGCGGAGATTCTGAGGGCAGACTGCGGGCCTCGCAGCTACAGAAACCGAGGGGGGGTAGTAGCTCTATTAGAGGGGTTCATTCTGAAGGGGCATCCCTGCTCTTACCTCTGGACTCAGCTCCCCAAGTTCTGAAGTCGGAAGGGTCCGCACTCAGGGACCTGTCAAGAAGCCGGGGCCCTGGGAACGTCAGCTGACCTACTGACTGCAAATCCGCCAGCAAATCCGCTTCAGCCGATTCGCCCGCCACCTTTTCCTTACTCCGCACCCCGTAGAAAATTCCCTGACCTAAGTGCCCCCTTGTTCCACCATGTGCTAATGTAGCCTCTCAATACAACTGTGAGGAGGTGTATTTCTACTGCTATGGTGTATGTTAGAGTCCGCGCAAAAGCCACCTTCGCGGCGAAAGCGTAGCGGCGAAGGTCAAACTCGGCCCCGGTGGACCGGAAGCGGAAGGACCTCGGCTGGAGAAGGGAGTGAGCACTCCGCCCCGGACGTGTGCGCCTGCGCAAGGATGGCCGTGGCTCATTGGAGGGCTGGTGGCCCGGGGCGGAGAGCAGGGGTCCGGATTTGGGCGGGAATTGAAACCGCCTCTGCTGCCGGCTAGAACTGGAGAGCTGCAAATACCCAGCCTGGAGGGGAGCCATGGTGCGGCCTGTGAGGTGAGGAGTTCAGGACGTCTGGCGGGGATGGGGAAAGAGCAGGAGACTCTGTAGACCCGAGGGCCCAGTAGAACGGAGGTCGCTATGGAGGGTAGGATTGACAGTTACTGGAAAACTCCCATCCTCCCTTGAGTTCCCTCCCTCCCCCCTCCCATTCCTCAGAAGTACCCTCTCAGTTTCTGTCTCCTTGCCTTCCTTCGTAGCTGCTGCCCTTTCTTTTACCAACCCCGTTCAAATAAGACCTTGTTGTGGGAGCATTGGATCAGCGCTTTGCATCTCACCGAGCTCCTACTTATGTGGTATTTCATGTGTTCATCACTATAGTGCTTTGGTATCCCTGTTTTATCGATTTAAACTAGGCGTAAAAGCCAATTAACCCAAGTCACAAAGCTAGAGAGTGGCAGGATAACCCTCACACCTCAACCACCTGGCTCCAGATCCTCTGTGCTTTCCCTTCTAGTATTTGAAACTATTCCTCTACTTAACAGTTGAGAGCTAGGGTCAGCCATTCATTAAGTAAAGTTATGGAATGCATTTACTTCTATGCATTACTGTACTAGGTGCAAGAGGTTACATTCTAGTCAAGGGGTGAGGTTAAGGGGGCCAAACATGGAAATGTGAGAAAGAGGGAGGAGAGGAAAGCCTTGATTTCAATAGGGTAATTAGACTGTGCCTCTCTGAGGAGATATTATAAGAACAGAGGAAGTACTACAAGAAGGATGTAGCCAATGAAAATCTGGGCCAAACCAGGGAACAGGGCCAAGGCCCTGAGCTTGACTGTGTGTGAGGGACAGAAAGAAGGACACTAAAGTGGTAGCATTAGCAAGCAGTGGGGAGAATTGTAGGGGATTAGGTCAGAGAAATAGGTAGGGACCAGAGCAGGTAGGCCTTGTAGGCTTTATAGAGGAGTTTGGATTTTCTATTAAGTGCAATGGAAGTCAATAGTTTTAAATAGGGGAGAGAAATCTAATTTTGGCTCTATAATGTAGTTGACTGGTGGAGAACGAATGGGAGATTAGGTAACCAGAGGGGAGCAGGAAAACCAGTTTGAAGGCTATTATAGCATTGAATATTGGTTTGGATTAGGATGTTATTATCTGTGGACATGAAATGGGACAGATGAATTTGGGATGTATTTTGGAGGTACTGTTGCCAAAACTTACTGAGGAAGTTGATGGGGAGGTAAGGGAAAAAGAACCATGGATGATTTTACAATATTTTTGGTCTGAACTACTGAATATCTTTGTACTGGTGCGGTGGGGAAGACTAAGAAAAGGAACAGGGTCAGAAGTGTGGGGCTCAGGAATTCTGTTTTGGCCTGGTTCATAGGTCAGTGGTTGAGCATTGACCTATGAACCAGGAGTTCACAGTTAAATTCCCAGTTGGCGTTTATGCCCAGGTTCGATGTGCAGGAGGCATCCAATTAATGATTCTTTCTCATTATTAATCTTTCTATCCTCCTTCCTCTCTGAAATTAATAGAAATATATATTTTTTAGAAAGAGTACTGTTTTCAGCATGTTAAGTTTAAGATCCAAGAAGCAAAGATTTGTGGACTCCTTCATGTCCCTGAGACATTTTCAGGAGGTTTATGAGGTTAAAACTGTTTTCATAATAATACTAAGCCATTACTTGTTTTTATTTTTTAAAATATATTTTATTGATTTTTTACAGAGAGGAAGGGAGAGGGAGAGTCAGAAACATCAATGAGAGAGAAACATTGATCAACTGCCTCTTGCACACTCCCTACTGGGTATGTGCCCTCAACCAAGGTACATGCCCTTGACCAGAATCGAACCTGGGACCCTTCAGTACGCAGGCTGACGCTCCATCCACTGAGCCAAGCCAGCAAGGGCACTTGCTGTTTTTAATTGTTCTGTCATTTGCACTGCAGTGGTGGTCAAAGAGCTGGTGTCTTAGCACAAATCAAGGCAATGGCACCAAACTGTGGGAGTAGTCATTGTATCTCTTACTGCTACACATAGTAAAAAACAAATTAAAAATAGAAAATGCCAGTTTCACTTAAGAGTGTGTTTGATGAAGCAGTAAGAATTATATCATTTCTAGAGGCCCTGTGCATGGATTTGTGCAATGGTGGGGTCCCTTCGCATGGCCTGCAGGGCCACAACAGGTGGCTGGGGAGGAGCCTGAACCTGGCCTGGCACCATGCCACTCTCACTTATCCAGGCCCAGCTCTACCTGCCTTGGGCTTGTGCCCATTTAGTCCCGATTGGGAGAAGCTCACACTGCCACAGTGGCACTCGCCAGTGTAGCAGCACTCCCACTGTGGGAGCAAACTGACCACCAGGGGGCAGCTCCTGTGTTGAATGTCTGCCCCCTGGTGGTCAGTGTATGTCATAGCAACTGGTCAAATAGTCAACCAGTCGCTTAGGCTTTTATATGTATAGGTAGTTCAACCGTTGAGCGTACTTTTAAAAAATATATATTTATTGATTTCAGAGAGGAAGGGAGAGGGAAAAAGAGATAGAAACATCACTGATGAGAGAGAATCATTGATCAGCTGCTTCCTGCATGCCCTACACTGGGGAACAAGCCCACAACCTGGGCATGTGCCCTGACAGGGAATCTAACTGCAACCTCCTGGTTCTTAGGTCTAAGCCCAACCACTGAGCTACACCAGTCAGGCTGAGCATACTTTGTTTTAAGTTTTGATTTTATTTTACTGTTATTCAGTCTCAGAATTTCTATATTCAGCTCTCAAATTCTTTAATTCCAAAGAGTAGGAGAGTAATAAGAATACTCTTCATTTTAATATTCTGTATTAGGAAATTAGAAGCATTCACAGAACACTTCTACAATTGTCTTAAGGAAAACCACTTGTAAGATTGAATTGTGAGCTGTACTAGTCTCTTTCATAGAAAACTGTTTTTACTTAAAAGAGCAACTGACATTCTAGGTCATTCGCACTTGGGAATTTGGCAGAGGACCATTTCATTTAGTGGCTAGAGCCATGGTCAGCGAACTGTGGCTCACGAGCCTCATGCAGCTCTTTGGCCCTTTAAGTGTGGCTTTTCCACAAAATACCACGGCCTGGGTGAGTCTATTTTGAAGAAGTGGCATTAGAAAAAGTTTAAGTTTAAAAAATTTGGCTCTCAAAAGAAATTTCAATCGTTGTACTGTTGATATTTGACTCTGTTGACTGATGAGTTCGCTGACCACTGGCCTAGAGGAAGGAAATTATTTTTCCACATATGTGTAAATGAAAAATTTCTGTGTTGGTTATAGGAATAAGAAGCCAGTCAATTACTCACAGTTTGAGAACTCTGAAAGCGATGGTACGTAGTGATTCTTATTTTGTTTAAAGTTTTGGAAATTTATTTCCTCAGAAATGTATAAATGTGTATATTAGTAAATGTAAAGGTATATTACCCAATTGCATATGAGGTAGGTCTGGAAAAATAATTTTTTAAGCATTTGGGATAATTATGCTGATAATTACATTGATGAGAAATATGTAGGTAAGTGATAAATGAGAGGGTCAGGTAAGGTAGTTCTTTAGGTCAAAACTATTGCAAATCCCTGTTTCTCAAAGTGAGGTTTGACTCCTCACTTTGGAGGATAGACTCCTTTTTATTGAAACACAAAGGTGTTATAGAATATCATGGGAAATGCCCATTAATTGTATAATAAAACAAGACTTTGAAGAAAGGTTAGGCTTAAGCTATGCCCTATTTACTTATCTCTCCTATTAAGGGAATTTTAGTCAAAACACAGACACAGACCACAGTGAACAGTGTGGTGATAAGCAGAGGGGAAGAGAAGTGGGGGTTAGGTAGAAGTGGGTACGGTGGGGGAAATGGGGACAGGAAGAGAGTGCTTCGGTGATGGGCGCACAATATAGGGTGCAGATTATGTTTTATTGAGCTGTACATTTAAAACCTGTATAATTTTGTGAACCAGTATCATCCCAATAAATTTAATTAATAAAAAGTGTTCAATAAATATGGGATTAGACTATCTTATACTTTGAAGCAGGTTTTGTACTTCTCAAACCATAAGAGATTTTTGTGAATCAAATATTATACTTAGTAACTTTGAAGTTTGAAGGAATCTTTGTTTTGGGATAGGATTATTATTATTATTTTTTTTTTGTCTTGGGCATAGCCTTAGGTGGGTCTAAGACTTAGGAGAAAATAATATAGACTGCTAGAGGCTCGCACATAAAATTCGAGCACAGGTAGGGCCCCTAGGCCTGGCAGGTAATCAGGGCCAATCAGGGCCTTTTAGCAGTCTGCTAGGGACTCCCTTCCCCAGCTGCTGGCTGCCGGCCAGGGCTTCCTTCATCCCACACCACCCTCTGGTAGTCAGCACACGCACGTCATAGCGAGCCATCAGTCTCCCGGTCAAACTTCTGAGGGGATTCTTTGTATATTAGCCTTTTATATGTATACTAGAGGCCTGATGCATGAAATTCGTGCATGGGGTGGGGTGTCCCACAGCCTGGTCTTCACCTTCTCCAATTTGGGTCCTCTAGGTGGATCCCTGCGGGATTGGGCCTAAACTGGCAGTTGGACATCTTTCTCACAATCCAGAACTGCTGTCTCCTAACCACTCACCAGTCTGCCTGATTGCCCCTAACCACTTCTGCCTATCAGCCTAATTGCCCCCTAACTGCTCCCCTGCCAGTCTGATTGCCCCCAACTGCCATCCCCTGATTTCCCCTAAGGCTTTTATTAGTGTAGATAATTTACACATTCAAATGTACAGATGTATCAGGCCAGCAGGAAAGGCCTATCATGCAAGTGCAGGCCTTCTT